ATTTGGTTTTCGACAATAATTTTTTTTCTTTTCACCTCTCTAACACGACTTATCGTTAAGATACAATTTTAAATAACAGCTCATTACAAAAAGGATTAAATGATGAATAATTCCATTGCTAACAATATGCAGGTCAGGTCAGATTTTTCGGATTTCACTTCAAAAAACACTTCAATTAGTCGACTCCGGCCGACTTTACGCAATAGATAAACATATGACATAACAAGAGATAAAGATCTGACGCCTAAAGATGTTTTCACTGAAAAAATTCGTTACATTTTTTCACGATAAAAAACGATAAGCAATTTTAAAGGTAAATTTACCTATGACCTCCTGTCCTACAGTATCCTTTTATAATACCTCAATTATGTCTTTTGAACAAATCCGATACCTTGGACTCCACTGGGACAAACGTCTAACTTGGAATCCTCATACCAGACTGAAACGACAAGAAACCGCTCGACGTTTCCGACTACTCCAACACTTACTAGACAAACGCTCTAAGCTTCCAGTTAATTACAAAAGACTCATATACATGACTACAATAAGACCTATTTGGACTTACGGAGTTGAGCTTTGGTGCTCCACTAAGCCATCGAATTCCTTTCGCATCCAATCCTTACAATCCAAAATCCTTCGGAAAATCCTGAATGTTCCTTACTTTGTCACCAATAAAATAATCCATAACGACCTTAATGTTCCTTATGTTTCTGATTTGGCCCAATCTAGATACCTATCCTTCCATAATAAACTTCAGAACCATCCGAATCCTCTCGTCTCGTACCTTGCTTCCTCTTCTATCCCTGATAACCCTCCGAGACGTCTGAAAAGAAGATGGTCTCGAGATATCCTATTGTAAATACGTTTTTTTAGAGTGCTACCAGTGGGTAGTTTCTCAACAAGTGATTTCATGTTATTATTTTTGTTATTAAATTTACTAAATGTATTTTATTTATTAATACAGTTGTAAATGTCATAAATTAAAAAAAATAAATGTAAATTACTGCTTAATACAAATATTAAAAGTAATCTTTAAACCAATTCTTGCTTGGACAATTTTAGAATCTCCGCCTCTTTCTAGATATCTCGGATTGCTTGATTTCGAAAGTTCTCCTGATCTTGCGAAAACCAACGAGAAATTATTTAATAGTGAAAAAATGATACGGTAAACACGTAAATATTTCAGCGAATTGTAGGAGGATTCATAAAAGAAAACTACAGCGGCTAAGAAGAATATAGTGCATATTGTGAAGAAAGAGGAAGGCGGTTAGGGAGGCCCATGGACCAGATGAGGTACATTAAACAAATGGGCTGGTGGAAGGTTCGCTCACGAGCGGCCATCTTTATCCTCAGTTACTAACAACACCTCTCTCGTCATTATCTGCCGGATTCCGCCGCTGAATTACTCAGCTTCTATTATGGAGTTACTGGAGGAAATTTAGGAGGCACTGGTCCAGGCTATATGGCCCGTGAACGGATCTTGTTTCGGAAAATACCTTTCTCCAATGTGGGGCAGAAATTGGAAGTCGAGTAAGTAGATAACACTAAGCTGTTCCGTGTAACGAATAAGAGCTGAGTATTTTTGTATTCTTAACTGATTGTGAGTATAGACTAGTTATAATTTATAAATTAATTATGAATTCGAAATAGATGCGTCGCGAAGATCTAGCATTCTGTGTTCATCAAACACCAAAACCTTTCCATGGTTTATTTATGACATTCAATTACCCATATATATAATATATATTAATGGAAAGTATTGCGATAGTGAAAATTTTCGAATATTGAGTTTTAAACGGAAATACACGTATTAAGGTCCCCTGAGTACAAATAAAAAAGTCCCCCAAAATGGTCTCTGTGTGTTGTATGTAAACAGCCTAGCTCAGAAACAAAAAGTCGTACGAAACTGATATTACATATTTAACGTAACGCACCAGATTTTTTAAATTTATTTTCATTCATTATGAAATTACAGTTTTAATCTATGGAAGATGTCAAAGACATTGATCGGCTATGAAAATCAGCCAACAATCTGAGTAGTTAATTTTTCTATAAAATACATTTAATTTGGTTGTTTCTGAATAATTAACTTTCTCACATTAGTAGGAGTTACAAAAAAATGCTAAATATAACTTTTGAAAGAATTTGATAATTGAATAATCAAGAAATAAATAAAAATGCTTATCTAGATCGAAATTAAATCTCCGGAAATAATATTCAGAAGTTATACGTATAATAACGTAAATATTAATATATCTTTATAAGCGAAGAGTTTTAGAAAAATAATATCAAATAAATAAAGTTGTAGAAGAGAACGGAGATTGAGGAAAAATATATACATTATAATTTCAGAAAACTAACATCATTTAACGTAAATCACATGTTTCCAAGGAAATTAAATGAAATTTTTTTACTAAACGTAAACTTTAATTTTTTTTTTTTAATTTAAAAAAAAGTATTTCGAATCCACCGAATCAATTCAATGATATTGTTTGAAATACTATTTCAATAGCAGTTTAATAACTAATAGTCCTACAATCCATAATCATTAATAGGTTAAATATCCAGATATACTTTCAAATCTCTCTAGACATATACGAGCCTTTTAGTTGACAGAATGACTAACTCCAATTTTAATATTTTTTTCATTAATTATATTGATGTTTGTAATTTAAAAATGTATAACTTTATTCACAGTTCTTTATTTCAACACTGCATTCTGCTGTGTTGGTATTCTGGAATCAACTTACTAAAATGCCATTACTCGAAAATGTTGAAATTGGAGTTAGTCATTCTATCAACTGAATGGAGCATATAGCTCAAAGACTAAAGTTATGTGGTTTACAAAATATCATATAGTAACGACATTTTTATTGCCTACCGTCGATATAAATTTTTTTTTTATTATTTCAATAGTCTTAATGATTTATTTGCTGTAAGTTTTAAGCTCCATTCAAAATGCATTTAAAAAATGCTATAATAGACGAACATTGCCGGAAAACAATTTTTATTCGAAGTAGTGTGGTAAGTGAAGTTGTGTGTTGCGGGCACCAGATTTTTTTAATTTACTTTTTTTTATTATGCAATTACAGTTTCAATCTATGGTCGATGCCAAAGACATTGATCGGCTATAAAAATAATCAGCCAACAATCTGAGTAGCTAGATTTTCTTCATAATTCATTCACCATAAATGAACGAGATTTTATCCATTTATAATAAAAACTTTATATAAATTTCAATGTTGTTCCTTATTGTTTTGTATTTTTTTTTGTTCAAATACTTATATGCATATGTCAAAGTAAGGATTGATAATCGCAAATAACCCGATAGCTTACGAAATTATGACATGTCAGATATTTGGTTGCCAAGGTCTTGATCAGGGAGTAGATTTATTTTCTGAATAGAATCAACGTTGCCAAAAGAGTCTAAGGATCTGTTGGCATGTCCGTATTTTATTTCATGAAATCGACAGTAAAAGATGTTATATATAGGTTTAATAATTAAATTGACGTAATTCATAAATAATTTAAATTGATATTCTAAATCTGAAAAAAAATATATTTTTTTTCTCTCCACGTTACTTTAATTGTATTTATTTATTTAGTGGTTTTAAGAAAAAAATATGAAAATTAAAATATCTTTTCAAACCTAAAGATATTTGTAGTACATTTAACAGCATTAAAAATCAAACCAGAGATGATTATTTAAAGAAAATATCTAAAAAATAAGGCTAAATAAAAAAATACTTAACTCTCCTCACGAAAAGAAACATAAACGTCTTGATTTTTTTGGTTTTTGTGCGAGCAAAGACACTTTTCTGCATAAATGAAGTTTGGCTGAATTATTACAGAGAAAATGAAGAAGAAATTGCAGCTACATAGAGACGATCATTTAGGAAATCCTGATTCCTTTGTTGAAGGAGTTTCTGGAAACCAGTCAACTGTTTAATTATATTAAAATAATTAATAATAATAATGATCTTCCTGGTGATTGATGGATCTGAGGACGCCCAAGATTGTCATACCTTGAATACGTCGAGCGTTTATGCAGAAAAGAGTTCGAAGATATTCGATACAGCTAATACGAAGGAAGGTTAGCTAATAAAATAACGATGAAAAAGAAAAAATAAGTTATTCTGTGCGCGATAAATATCATTAACTTACAGGAAACATAAATATAATATTATAAATGAAGAATATACAAATATATATATATTTCCTGACAATGGCTAGAGCTTCTCCACACAAGTTATGCGTGTATGTGGCTTTAGTGCCCTCTCTTAGTCTCCACTGGATTCCCATCCTTAATGTTGTCTGATGTTTGATTTATTTTGTTATTCTAAGTTTTTTTTCTTTTCTTCTGTTATAATTTTCTATTTTTTTTATTTTATTGTATATATGGTATGATTGTTTTATACATCCCAAATACTCAATGCCCTTAATTAAGGCAACATACATTTTTTTCAATAAAAAAATGAAATATTTATCTGGTATTTATCATACAATTTATCAACTCATTAGTCAAATTTTCAGTCTTTGAATGTAGATTTTACTCTTGGTGGAAATATACTTGTCCAGTTTTTTATTTGGATAGGAATTCCTATAGAAATACCTTTATTCCTTGTTGCTTACGGAATTCTAAAACTCTACGTAATTTAAGAGATTTATTGTGATATCAATTTTTCAATATTTTGAAATTTGGTTTACGAAAGGTAGATTGAGAAAAAAATGATATCGAGACGAATCCATAAGATTATATAAAGTTATATTTTTGATGGTAGCGAATGCCGCGTCAGCATTATCAAAAAGCGTTAAGCGATTTATAAAATATAGAAGGATCTTCCATTCTTGGAATAAGAAAAATAAAAGGAATATAAACGAGGAGAAAAAAGGAGAAGAAGATTGGAAGAGACCGGCGTGGGGCGGTGGATATTGGGTGGATATGCCGATTGGCAATATCTATACCGCTGTCAGCAGCTGTTATTTTCAACTTCCTTCAAATGAGCTCCCCGCTGACAATAACTGCAGTTCCAGCTCCGGATCCAGCGCTGCAGTGCCCACCGCTTCGGGAGAGGATGGCATTCCAGCATCCGGTGATTGTCCAATGGGGACAGCTAGTTCTCGGATCATTGGGCTACGTCATTAGGTTAGTGACGCTTTATCGGGCAGGCTGGATACGAAAATGGTGGCAGTTCAACTGAGAGAAGGTTTGAAATCTGTGCAAGCACGGAAGGGTGGATTTAATGTGTTTCGTTAAATACTGTATAGGGATTATATATAAACGATGTGTACGTCACTAGCCTGGAAATAATTTTATATTTACATGCTACAGTGTATTGATTTCATGCAGTGTTTGTTGGATTTAACAAACACCTCTTTTGATGCGATACAAAGCAATGTTTATATAAAAACTTCACATCTACAATGAATACAACGTTAAATCATCACGTCATTACGATTCATTAGAACTGTTCAATTGCACATCGTCGGTTCGTTGCAGAAATCCATTAAGTAATATTTTAAAGAATTTGAAATAATCGAATTTCAAATTTCGAAGTCAATAGTAAATAGCTAATTTATTATATTTCCGACAATTAATTAAAATACTTAACATATACATAACAATGATAAAAACCTAAAATGACGCACATAGTGACTTTTTGTAACTATCATAGTTAAACAAAAAAAATTATAACTACCAGTAATGCGGTTAAGCGAGAGTGGCTGGGATCTCCCAGAGTCCTGCCTTTCCTTCCATGAGTGGGGAGAAATGTTTGGCTTGGAGATTTTGAATGCATTTTGTAAATATTTTATAAAAACGTGTGTGTATTTATTTTGATTATTTTAGTGTTTTTTTTTTTTGTTTAGTTTAGTTTCTTTTATTTCGCTGTTTATTTCTATTTATTGTACATAGTTTAAATGAGATACACTTCGAATACTATTGTTATTGCCCTTAGATGTGACAGATTGTAGCATTTTTCAATAAATATTATCTAAAAGAAACAAAACAACTTTTATAACATTGCAAATATATAGAAAGTGAGTTGGACTTACTTGATCTAATTAGTTTTATTAATCATATGATTAATTGATCCAGTGCTAGAAGTCATTAAGTGCCAGATAGTCAATTTTGTCTTTCCTCTTACTTTAACCTTATCTAGAGAAGAAAATATTCATTAAGTAACTTGATGACATTTTGTTCTGTTAAGTCAGAACATCATTCACTTAATAATAATATTTTTTATATAATATTAATAATAGGATCTATATTATTTTTTTACACCTAATGAGTTATTGTACTGATAAATATGATCGAAATTAACAACTACCTACCTTCAAGTTTAAATCGATCAAAAGTATACTTCATGACTTTTTGTAATAAACTGACGATATGTTCAAAAGAGTAGTGTTTTAATTTTGTTTTTAATATCTGAGAAAATTACAACATATAAGTAGTAAAAAAAAAATTATGATTTTGTTTATATATTAAATTTTTTTAGAATGTTTTGTATAACTGTAACAATTGATCTGGTCGAATTTAGTGTACTGTTGCAAGTTGCATGAAAACAAGTTCACATTCTGTGTGGGTATTTCTGATGATCCACCCACATAAAATTATGCATGGATTTCATTAAAATGATTATTTGTTTTGTTTCAAGGAAATTAAAAAAACAACTTCTGATTCTGACATTTTAAAATAAAAATGATTATATCTTAAAAAACTATCACAAGTGTTACTTTAATGTTTTTTTTTAAATGAGTGATATTTTAGGAAGAGTTACTGATAATTTACCGAGTTACTACACATATTGTGCGCGCTAGGTGTTTAACAATTACTAGTATTAAAACAGTTTTTTTAAGCACGTAAAATACGATTAAATTTTATTTCCTAAAATAATATCCATGTTTATTAAGTTTTCTGACGTTTAGATCCAACCATAGTGCAATCAATGCAATGGTTTGAAGGCCAGAGAAGAACTCGAACTTCGGCAAACTTAGTAAATATCGAATGCATATACTGATTATTTTTTGTCATAATAATAACACAATAAAGAATAATAGTAACACAATAAATAAAGCTTGAAATGTAAAAAAGTAAATAAATATAAACGTCTTATCTTTTGTTCTTCATATTATTTAGAGACTTATTTAGTTATCAGATATTTATAGATATTCATCCATTGCAAAATTTTTATTTTGTAAAACAATTTATGATAAATACACTTTTATGTTCCTCACTCAACTAAGCTTTAATGCAGCGACAAGACATTTTTATATACATATGCTCATAAAGTTAAACTATCATTTGCGAGTTACCAATGGCCGTCACAAACATTATCTATTAATAATCATTTACCATTCTCTAGTATTTTTCATTTATATGTAATGAGAGTATGTACGAATATGTTTCTTATTATATTTTCTTGTTTCTTATTTTCTGCTTAAGACTATGTAAATATGAATTTTATAATAAATTGAAAGCTAAGAGTGGTTCTTTAGTAGGCAAGTCTTCAACACTTTTTAGCCTATAAACGATTACTTCTCAGTTGCCATTTTACTTGATTTAACCAAATTTTGTATGTTTATTTTCATAATTAAACGTTAAAACCTCAAAAAATAATGTCTCATGCTCCATCAGCATCTCATTCACCGCCATTTGGTTTTAAAATTGTTTGGCTTCCTTGTATATAGGACTATCTTGACTAAAACGTCGATGATGTCCGACTTGAAGATGATCAGAGTTGGCTGAAGTTTTTTGATTGTACTCGTTTTGCATTTTGGAAACTTTATTATTGCATTTTGTGAAGCGCAGATGCTGTGCCTCAGACAATCAGCGTCGGTTGAAGTGTTATTCAATCAGAGGACTGCAGTATGCCAACAATGACGTCATGAATTCTACTGGCGCGTAATGACGCAATTAATCTTAATTGTTTAATTAATGGATCGTTGGATAGCGCTGTATAGGCCCACTGCGGCAACTTATCTAATCGGCATATCTTAATTGAGTTCTGTAACTATTACATCATGCCATCGTATAAATAAAATAACTGATGGATTTTTATCTGTCTATTATATTTGGTGAAAAAATCTTAAAATTTTAAGACACGTCAAACTACAATCCTCAGATAACAAATGATGGAGGGTTACACAAAGGGCTTAATCCGTAACCGATCATAACAATCATTTTATTCTCAATTATGCAATTTAGTTTATTCAATGTACCGATTGGGTGAATAATTATATTGATAATTCCGATTCCTCAAAGGACAAGGTTATCTCTGATACTAGTTATCACTGACAGAAAAGAGAACGATTCCTAATCAAGACTTGTGGAATAATAGCAGATTTCGGCGAAAGATCCTTTTTTCACAGACCTCATATCAACATTAATTTATAAGAATATAAATTATTGATGACTTCTTTTACAGCCCTCTTACGACTTCGTTCAACCCTTCTACCATTCCTTGGTTCCTTTACCTCTTTACATACCCTTTACCACCTTTACCCCTTTACCTATTTACCCACATGACGGTCGGGACTATTCACACTTGCAGTTACAATATTGTAGTCACACCCTCGCAAGAAAACCTAGATGACATGATCTTGTTGTCAAATTCTTGTAGGAGACCTCGAGTTAACCCATATAGTTAATAATACAACCCTGTATTTAAGAAAAGTGTAACTTTTAAAGTCTCCACTGTGTTAACTGGAGTATTAAGAACCTTGTTGCTTTTTCCATTTTCAAAGAAAAACTACGGACTGAAAATTTATTAGATTTTGAGTCTATTCTCACCATATAATATATATGAGTCTTATAAGTAATCTGTTAAAATCGATGAACTGGTGAACATAGAGCAGTGGTATTATGAGACATAGCGATACATATTCCTTTTACCTTCATAATTTCTGCTCAGTTGAGACTTTTAAGGCTTAACTTTAATTCGGGTCCTTGCAGAACACAGTGGTTCAGGATCGTTCTGCTGTATTACGTTTTGGCTTATTGAGTCAGAGAATATCACGGATAGTTCCTCAAGGACCTAGAGAATCGGCAACCAACATGGTTAATTAGGGATTCTTCCTTTGAAGACACACTTAAACTATTTTTTTTTCTATGGGTTTATGAAGTAATCAAATAAATATTTATGTATAACATAACCATGATGTAATAAAATACGTTATTTATTAGTAATTATTCGAAAAATCGATATTCTAGCGAATCAAAAAATATTAATTAAAAACAATATTAATACTACTAATGCGGCTGATTTAGAGGCGCTGAGATCTTCTGTGAATGATTTTTTATTTTTTTTTGGTTATTGTATAGAAGCTTGTGTTGTTAGTGTATGTGAGTGTTGTTTTCATTAGTTGTTTTGTTTCTTTTTGTTTGGTTTAGTTTATTATTATTTACTTTTAGTATTATTGTTTTTTCTGTAACATTTATTTTTATTTATTGTTGATAGAGAGTGAATGTGCTCTCTGAACACTATTATAAATGTCCTTATTTGTGATAGATTTTAATATCTCTCAATAAATATATTTCATTTGTTTTCATATAATTATGTGTGTGTTTTTTGTTTTCATTTATTTATTTATGTTTAAGTTATTCTATTCTTATTTATTATATATATATATATATATATATATATATATATATATATATATATATATATATATATATATATATATATATATATACGTATATTGGGGAGTGGGATAGCTCAGTGGTAGGGTACTGAGCTTCTAATGCTAGAGTCCCAGGCTCGAACCCCGGCTCATGGCAGAAAATTTATTTATCTGCTTCATTAGCCGTGGGGCGACCCTGGATAGGTAGACCCACCTGGGGCACACCCAGCCTCTATAAAGTGGGTAAACTTAATTAAATAATTAATTAAGGGGGTAAACCTGGCGGTTGAGCGTGATCTCGGTCAAATCACCTCCTTGCACAACCGTTGACCTAGAAACAGTGCTTTCCCTAAATAGTAATGAACCCTATATATATATATATATATATATATATATATATATTATATTTCTGAATGTGATCTATAAAAACTATTATAAATATCCTTTCAGACAGATTGTAATATTTCTTAATAAACAAGTTCATTTGTTTTCGCCTCTATCCTTGAGATTCATTGTTTTTGAAAATCAAACTAAAAATTATATTTATTTTGAAATATAGAAGAAAATATTTTATGTATTATCATCAGAACAAGCTCTAAGCACAGAGTAAGAACCAGTATGGGCAAATATGGTTCTTTCTCCTCCAAATTATCCATGATTGGGAAGAAAACTAATTTTTGAAAGAACGACTTCCAAAGTGGAAGGATTCAAGCTAGAAAGAGATGAATATAGTGTAAGGTACCGAAGGCTATTTGTAACGAATAAAATATAAACAAAAATGGTTTCTTCTAAATTAAAAAAAATAAATACTAATAAACAATTATATTTATTTTGACTTACCATCCTATTCAGTACATATAATTTAATAAAATAAAAAAAAGAGAAGGTACAACTTCAGGATTTTGGTTCAGATGGAATTTAAAGGAGGGATGTATTTGACAATAACAGTATATATAATTTTATTATGTTTCATTAAGTTAAAATTCAGTTTCGGGTATAAAATTATGTATTAGCTATTACTAATACATACGAATTGTATTTATTTCAAAACAACAAGAAAATTATAAATAAAAGATAAACAAATATAAAAGATTAAAATAAAAAAGAAATCAGATTTTTTAAAAACTTTATTTAAATATATTATTTGAATTGTTTAATACAGTTTAAATATAAAATTATCTTGTTACCAACTATGGCTACTTTCTCCAGAAGCTGCAGTTTCTGAAGATCCATACTGTGAACTGGTCGAATGATGAAGTTCACCTATTCCAGAATGCTCCTGACCTTCAAAATGCTGTTCAGATGACAAATGCGACAAACCCTGGCCAATGCTACCAAAGTCCTTATACTCTTCATTTTTGGAAGTCTCGACCTTATAAGGTACTTTGATTTCTACCTTATAAGGTACCTTGACCGGATAAGGTACTTCCTTGACTACAGGGTACGGCACTTGCTTTTCGACGTGGTAAGGTACTGGTTTCTCAACAGTATAAGGGACTGGTTTTTCTACAGGTACCTTCACTTCATACGGGACCTCTTTGTAGACGGGGTATGGGATTTTCTTTTCGACTGGGTAATGTACCGGATACTTCTTCTCAATCGGCACTTTAACTGTGAATGGAACGAACTTCTCGACGAAGAAGGGCACTTTCTTCTCGACGTACACGTTGTACGGTTTAGGTACTTCGACTGGATAAGGTCTGTCCACGTGGACTTTCACTTCGTAGGGTACTTTCTTCTCTACCACAAAAGGCTTGGGAACTGGCACTTTGACTTCGTAGGGGATCTTCTTTTCGACGTAGACTGGGTAGGGCTTTGGTACGTATACAGGATACGGTTTGTCGACCGGAACCTTGACTTCGTATGGTACGGGCTTCTCTACTTCCACTGGGTACGGCTTCGGGACCTTCTTCGTGAGGACAATACTCTTGATATGCTCGAAGTGTTCGTGGTGGTGCTCCTTAGGCTTTGCTTCCAGCTCCAGATGAGAAGGATTAGCAACCGTGATGCCTACTAGGCAGAAGATGACCGTAATGTACAACATCTCAACTGCTAATGCTCAAAGGATGAGGTCTCAGTCTTTTATACAGGACAGTTAATATATTCGACATAACGTTCCCGGTTATTGAACAACTTTTACTGAAATATTAATTGGTTCTGCTCAATGGGTACACTATAATAGTGTTGACTGAATAAATTATTGATTAGACGCTGTGTCTCTAATTAGTGGTTTCGGAAGGCAGTTGACCTCGGAGGTAGCAGAGATAAAATATTCGGAATTTAATTTATTAAATTAACATACCTTCTGATGAATTTATTAAATTATTTTGTTATTTATGATAAACAACCTTATTTAGGTTATTATATATGATCATTTATACATCAAAAACCTGTTTGATCTCATAGCCTTTTTACTTTACATTTAAAAATTGTTACAAACATTTAATAATTATTTTTTATACTTTTGGCTCCAAGAACTAATATAAAAAAATTGTGATTTTTCTTTAAAAAAAAACAACATAAATTTCAGGATGATGTCTGTCATAAAATGAGGAGAAAAAAATTAATGTGGAATAGCAAGAAAACCACTTATAATTAATAAAACAATTAATACCATTGAGTAATATTCTATATACATATATATTTTTAGAAAAGATATTTTTATAGGACTAATGTTCTTTTTTTTTTTTTAAACGTTAAAAAATAATTTTTATATTTTTTAAAAAGGTTTTAAATGTAAAATAAAAAACTGTTAGATTCAAAAAGGTTTTAATGTAAATATAATCATAAATAGATTAAATATAATAATTAGTTTAGAAGAATATATCCTGCACCAAATAAAAATGGTTTCAACAATTTAAAAAAACTTTTAATTTTCACAATAATAATAATTATTTAAAAATTTCACAAAAATGAAATCAGGTACTTAAAACTCACCACGGGCGGATCTACGAGGGGGGATGGAGAGGGGGTGTTTCGGGCTGTAGCGACCTCCAAAATTGTAAAATATAACTTGTATAATAGTGTTTATGGTAAAATATTATCTCTTTAAGTATTATTGTTCGTGCTATTACATTTAATAGAACTTCAAGAACACTTAAGTTCATCCTTCAAAAATTCAGCCGTCCGCCTAGCAGATAGGTAATGCAGGTTTGATGTCCATGCTCTTAGCTTGGCAAATCTGTCAGTGTCTGAATAATATTATAATATTTGGATAAAACCTGTATTTAGTCCTCATTATTAAATATTGGAGATTAGTTAGGCAGGCCACAGTCTGAAGCCCAAAGAAGAAAATAACGAAACCGAGTTTTATTAAAATTATGGAATATATGTATTTACATATATTTATAATACTCAATGGTCGATTACAGAAAAGTTGTAAATTTATATATATATATATATATATATATATATATATATATATATATATGTGTGTGTGATTTCTCATATGTACAGCATAATTTCTCCATTGATGGCACTTATGATTTCTCCTTCATTTGTTTAAAATTCAACTCTGTTTGAATCTTCATGGATGCACCAGACAGGTGGAAAGGTTTTCTTTTTTATCTCCGATTAACCAAAATATTTATAAGGTTCCTGAAAATAATAACAACAAGAAATGGAGTTGTAGACTTAATACAGACGTTTCTTTCTTTTTCATTTAAAAATAAAAACTAATTCTCTTTCATGTATAACTTTCCTTTACACTGAAAAATGTCAAATATTTGGTTGGAAAGATATATTAAAGCAAAGTCGACTTTCCTTATTGTCAAAGTATATTTTTTTTAACTCCAGGTTAATACTTCTTCCAAATGTGGGATTTCGCCCACTTATGTTTTGGGCAATAATTGCGAAGAGAATTTTCATTATATTCTAGGAATGAACCCCTCGAATTCCTTGAATATTTTGCACTCTCAGGTATCTTGAAGGCTGAGCTGTGCATGCGCAACATTCCTCTCCTCTCTCGGCTAATTCCTCTACGCTTTTATAAGTTTAAGTTGTTTTCATGATTTTTTATTTCATATGTTATCGTTTTTATACTCATAAATAGGACTGCTCAAGATATTTTTGTACTTAAAGTTTATCTGCATCCTAAGTATTTCAAGTAGAGAAGTATTAAGAATTATTAATTCGGATTTGATTCTAATGAATTATAATATTATCAACGATTAACGAAATGGTTAGCATCTTTTAAACGTTTTCAAAATTAAATATGTATTTTAGAATTTAGTTATTTACTGAACAACTGTTAATTGTTAATATAAGCAAAATAATATTTTGATTAAAATCTTGAGCCTTGAATATACGTAAAAATTTGATCTGTCATTGTTTTTTTGAGTATGTGGTAGGAATGTTGAGCCATACAAAGAACTAAGTAAAAATTAATAAATTATATTCATTTTTATTTTTTCCGAAGTTCCGGCCCAAGTTTCAGACCTTCATCAGGGCTAAAAAAAGACAAGATAACATAAATATTAGAAACTTAAAGACGGAAAAATTAATAATATATTGACAGATGGTCTGGTCCATAGGTGGGGAAACGCGGCCTACGTTGTTACGGCCAAATGCATGTGGCCAAACGTATTTACGCAATATTTATTAATATAGTGTTAGTTTAATTATTTAAGTATTGGCCATGTGGTATTTAAAAGAATTAAGTTGAATGAATGTATGTGGTTGTATGTGTTTGGTGATAAAGAACAATAGCAATGGTAAAATATAAATAATTATTGCGGTCTCCTATTAGCACTGCCTAACCTTACTACGGCCTCTAATGATAAAAAGGTTCCTCATCTATTCTATGGTCTAATAACATGTAGATAGAGTAAACTTAAAATTATTAAATATATGGAATGGCAAATATATTATATATAAATAACGGAAATATAAAAAAAAATATACGCTTTTTACTTACCACGTTCATTGTTAGTCAAAAAAACTTGATGATTAATAAATAAATCTCAAAGAGTATCAAGATCTGTATAATATTCATATATGGTTACAGAATAAGCAGTGAAAATTTTAAAAAAATAGTTCAAACCGATTAATTCATAAATAGCGATAAACCTTGTTTCATTGAATTCATCATTCAACGTTGTTCCATCTATTTCTTAAATACCTGATCTTAACTTAACAGAAATTCTGGTGCTTCCGCCTTTTTCATATTACTCAACCATTCCCACCTGTAAATCCTTACTAGTTTACACTTTTATACCTAGGACTCCATCTGGACAAACGTCTAACTTGGAATCCTCATACCAGACTGAAACGACAAGAAACAGCTCGACGTTTCCGACTACTTCAACACTTACTAGACAAACGCTCTAATCTTCCAATCAATTATAAAAGACTCATTTACATGACTATAATAAGGGCCTATTTAGACTTACGGAGTTGAGCTATGGGGCTCCACCAAACCTTCAAATTCCTCTCGCATACAATCCTTACAATCCAAAATCCTTCGTAAAATCCTCAATGCTCCTTACTTTGTTACAAATAAAATTATCCATTAATGACCTTAATGTTCCTTATGTATCAGATTTGGCCCAATCCAGATATCTGTCCTTCCATAATAAACTTCATAACCATCCCAACCCTCTTGTCTCTAACCTTGCTTCCTATTCGATTCCTGATAACCCTCCGAGGCGTCTGAAAAGAAGATGGCCACTATGGATTTTCTAATATAGACATATTATTAGAGTGCTACCAATGGGTAGTTTCTCAACATGTGTTCCATGTCTTTATACCAAAGTGCGAATTTACCAGATGTATTTTTTGTATACAGTTGTAAATATCATATAAATAAATAAAAAAAATAAAAAAAAGTTAACACTTTTTATCTCCTCAATTATCATTCATACGCATTCGAAAAAAATAAGTTTCTCTTTAAGTTAAGTTATAAACAGGAAAATCCAAATTATAAAGCCACGAGTCTCAAACACACAGCTAAAAAGTTAACTTGCCAATATTTACATACTAGTATGTATTTAGATGACCTTGTGAGATGGTCATAGACATTTTATTTTTCTTTCTACGTATATGCAGTATTGTTGTTTCTATTCTAATGATGCCCGAATAGAAGAAACTTTAGCAGATTAACTCACCTGTGTGTTAGTGACTTGTGACTTTATAAATTGAATTTTTCAATTTACAACATAATTACATTATGCATCTTTTCGAGCTTTTATGCTTATTTTAGTAATATTTAAATTAATAAAAATATTTTTATTAGATATATGTTATTTATATATCGTATATAAATTATATAACTATTTATATATTGAATTAATTTCCTATAAAGAAGCCTGATAAGTATTGTTTTAATAGTACATTTTTTATCTTGGGGGCTGTGTATTCTAGAAATAAGTTTAATTTTTCATTTCATTAAACAAATTCTTGTTTTTATTTATGGTAAGGAGAGATTGAAGAGTAAGAAGATTCTGATCGTCTATATTTTAATTAAGGCTGATTCGATTTGGCACAAAGGCGGAGAAAATGAACTAATGTACATATTTTTTAAGATCAATAATTTAAAATTAAAATTAATGTAATAGTTCAGATTGCAATAACTGTGAAATGTGGTAGGCGGTTAAAGTATGATTAAAGGATGACGATTTTTATTTAATGATACTATTCATTTTTATGTACATTTATATTCTTAGCGAGATGTAACCATTCAGAAAACACAACTAGCAACGCAGATTCGAATTCGGGTTGGCTGGATTGAAATTCGGGATGAGCTTGACCTTCCAACTCTGGTTAAACTAGGATTGGTTGCACATCTAAAACCTCCTTCCTCCATAATATGCCAGGATTAGCTAGAATCAGAGAAAAGAATTACTTATGTGTATGGATATGAGCATATTTTCTTATTGCAGAATTAAATGGTGAAGAAGGTAAACTGATTTATTTGTCAGATATATCTTTTATTCAAGTTGACCAGTACGGGAGATTACCTGTGTTCATAATCTAGAAAGATGAGGTACCACGATTATATAAAAACAACGTTAATAAATATTTAGAATTAATGTACAAGTCGAAGCA